ACTGAGTTTTCTCTGGCATCATCATTTGATCCCACTGAGTTTTCTCTGGCATCATCACTTGATCCCACTGAGTTTTCTCTGGCATCACCACTTGATCCGACTGAACTTTCACCTCACTCGCTTCACTACACAAGGATTCGCCCCCAGACGAGCACCAGCACAAGGTGTTCCGGATCTGAGTCATGCATCGGATACCAGTTGATATTTTCCCAAGCCCGCTCAGCGAGTCCGTTTTAATTACAAGATGTCGGGTTGTACAACTTTCTAGCCGTTAGAAAGTTACCATGACTGCCTTCGCCTCCATTCTCTTGCCAGATGTTGTGGCAATATACACTAGGCTCTCATCTGACTTTGTGGCAATATACACTAGGCTCTCGTCTGACTTTGTGGCAATATACACTAGGCTCTCGTCTGACTTTGTGGCAATATACACTAGGCTCTCGTCTGACTTTGTGGCAATATACACTAGGCTCTCGTCTGACTTTGTGGCAATATACACTAGGCTCTCGTCTGACTTTGTGGCAATATACACTAGGCTCTCGTCTGACTTTGTGGCAATATACACTAGGCTCTCTTCTGACTTTGTGGCAATATACACTAGGCTCTCGTCTGACTTTGTGGCAATATACACTAGGCTCTCGTCTGACTTTGTGGCAATATACACTAGACTCTCGTCTGACTTTGTGGCAATATACACTAGGCTCTCGTCTGACTTTGTGGCAATACACACTAGGCTCTCGTCTGACTTTGCGTTTCGTGTGGGAAACTTTGCTTATTCACTTTGCAATAAAACCTCACCAAGTTCTTCTGACCTCTCACTTCAGATCTCCTCATGTGCGTTACGTGGCCCGATTATAGGGAAAACAAGAATAGACCCACTGCCTCCCCACAAGCATGTCGTAAGAGTCGACTAAATAGGAGCTTTCTTTGAAATCGGAGTGCATCTGCCTGAGAGCCAAGGAACAAACAGTCTGCATACAAATTATTCAGATCTGTAAAACGAATGCACACGCAACACTCAGGTTCTGAAACAGGACTGCAGTCCAAAAGTGGACGAACAACCAGAACTTCCCGCCGGAGTTTACAGCCGATGAACGCGAAGAGGAAGAAGACGATAGATCTATCTGTCTATCGTAGATCTATCTGTCTATATGATGATGTCACCGCTTTATGAATTGTCATTGATCAGCTGTTGAACTAAAAGCTCTGTTTCAGTAGTCATCCATTCCATCACACACACTTATCCATTCCCCACACACACTGTTATCCATTCCCCCCACACACAGTCATCCTTTCCCCCCACACACAGTCATCCATTCTCCCCACACACATAGTCATCCATTCCCCCCACACACAGTCATCCATTCCCCACACACACATAGTCATCCATTCCCCACACACACATAGTCATCCATTCCCCACACACACACATAGTCATCTATTCCCCAAACACACATAGTCATCCATTCCCGACACACACTGTCATCCATTCCCGACTCACACATAGTCATCCATTCCCTACACACACATAGTCATCCATTCCCGACTCACACATAGTCATCCATTCCCGACACACATAGTCATCCATTCCCTACACACACAGTCATCTATTCCATACACACACAGTCATCCATTCCCGACACACATAGTCATTCATTCCGACACACATAGTCATCCATTCCCTACACACACATAGTCATCCATTCCCTACACACACATAGTCATCCATTCCCGACTCACACATAGTCATCCATTAACGACACACATAATCATCCATTCCCTACACACACAGTCATCTATTCCATACACACACATTCATCCATTCCCGACACACATAGTCATTCATTCCGACACACATAGTCATCCATTCCCGACACACATAGTCATCCATTTCCGACACACATAGCCATCCATTCCCGACACACACATAGTCATCCATTCCCGACACACACAGTCATCCATTCCCGACACACACATAGTCATCCATTCCCGACATACACAGTCATCCATTCCCGACACACACAGAGTAATCCATTCCCGACACACACATAGTCATCCATTCCCGATACACATAGTCATCCATTCCCAAAACACACAGTCTCAAGCAACTTTCATTAATAACCATTGCAAATAACTGTACCTATAGAAGTGATTCATCACTAAAACAACAATAACTATTGCAACTTACGTACGCGCACACACCAGGCAACAATGATTGCTTACAATCTCCAGACAGTTCACACACCAGGCAACAATGATTGCTTACAATCTCCAGACAGTTCACACACCAGGCAACAATGATTGCTTACAATCTCCAGACAGTTCACACACCAGGCAACAATGATTGCTTACAATCTCCAGACAGTTCACACACCAGGCAACAATGATTGCTTACAATCCCCAGACAGTGCACACACCAGGCAACAATGATTGCTTACAATCCCCAGACAGTGCACACACCAGCCAACAATAATTACTTACAATCCCCAGACAGTGCACACACCAGGCAACAATAATTACTTAGAATCCCCAGACAGTGCACACACCAGGCAACAATAATTACTTACAATCCCCAGACAGTGCAGACACCAGGCAACAATGATTACGTAAAACCCCCAGAAAGTTCGCACCAGGCAACAATGATTACTTACAATCCCCAGACAGTTCACAAACCAGACAACAATGATTGCTTACAATCCCCAGACAGTGCACACAGCAGGCAACAATGATTGCTTACAATCCCCAGACAGTGCACACACCAGCCAACAATAATTACTTACAATCCCCAGACAGTGCACACACCAGGCAACAATAATTACTTAGAATCCCCAGACAGTGCACACACCAGGCAACAATAATTACTTACAATCCCCAGACAGTGCAGACACCAGGCAACAATGATTACTTACCATTCCCAGTTAGTTCACACACCAGGCAACAATGATTACTTACCATTCCCAGTTAGTTCACACACCAGGCAACAATGATTACTTACCATTCCCAGTTAGTTCACACACCAGGCAACAGTGATTACTTACAATTCCCAGTTAGTTCACACACCAGGCAACAATGATTACTTACAATTCCCAGTTAGTTCACATACCAGGCAACAATGATTACTTACAATTCCCAGACAGTGCACACACCAGGCAACAGTGATTACTTACAATTCCCAGTTAGTTCACACACCAGACAACAATGATTACTTACAATTCCCAGTTAGTTCACATACCAGGCAACAATGATTACTTACCATTCCCAGTTAGTTCACACACCAGACAACAATGATTACTTACAATTCCCAGTTAGTTCACACACCAGGCAACAGTGATTACTTACAATTCCCAGTTAGTTCACACACCAGACAACAATGATTACTTACAATTCCCAGTTAGTTCACATACCAGGCAACAATGATTACTTACCATTCCCAGTTAGTTCACACACCAGACAACAATGATTACTTACCATTCCCAGTTAGTTCACACACCAGTCAACAATGATTACTTACAATTCCCAGTTAGTTCACACACCAGGCAACAGTGATTACTTACAATTCCCAGTTAGTTCACACACCAGACAACAATGATTACTTACAATTCCCAGTTAGTTCACACACCAGGCAACAATGATTACTTACCATTCCCAGTTAGTTCACACACCAGGCAACAATGATTACTTACAATTCCCAGTTAGTTCACACACCAGGCAACAATGATTACTTACCATTCCCAGTTAGTTCACACACCAGGCAACAATGATTACTTAGAACCCCAGACAGTGCACACACCAGGCAAGAATAATTACTTACAATCCCCAGACAGTGCACACACCAGGCAAGAATAATTACTTACAATCCCCAGACAGTGCACACACCAGTCAAGAATAATTACTTACAATCCCCAGACAGTGCACACACCAGGCAAGAATAATTACTTACAATCCCCAGACAGTGCAGACACCAGGCAACAATGATTACTTACCATTCCCAGTTAGTTCACACACCAGTCAACAATGATTACTTACAATTCCCAGTTAGTTCACACACCAGTCAACAATGATTACTTACCATTCCCAGTTAGTTCACACACCAGGCAACAATGATTACTTACAATTCCCAGTTAGTTCACATACCAGGCAACAATGATTACTTACCATTCTCAGTTAGTTCCCACACCAGGCAACAGTGATTACTTACAATTCCCAGTTAGTTCACACACCAGGCAACAGTGATTACTTACAATTCCCAGTTAGTTCACACACCAGTCAACAATGATTACTTACAATTCCCAGTTAGTTCACACACCAGGCAACAGTGATTACTTACAATTCCCAGTTAGTTCACATACCAGGCAACAATGATTACTTACCATTCTCAGTTAGTTCCCACACCAGGCAACAATGATTACTTACAATTCCCAGTTAGTTCACATACCAGGCAACAATGATTACTTACAATTCCCAGTTAGTTCACACACCAGGCAACAATGATTACTTACAATCCCCAGTTAGTTCACATACCAGGCAACAATGATTACTTACAATTCCCAGTTAGTTCACACACCAGGCAACAATGATTACTTACAATTCCCAGTTAGTTCACATACCAGGCAACAATGATTACTTACAATTCCCAGTTAGTTCACACACCAGGCAACAATGATTACTTACAATCCCCAGACAGTGCAGACACCAGGCAACAATGATTACTTACAATTCCCAGTTAGTTCACATACCAGGCAACAATGATTACTTACAATTCCCAGTTAGTTCACACACCAGGCAACAATGATTACTTACAATTCCCAGACAGTGCACACACCAGGCAACAATGATTACTTACAATTCCCAGACAGTTCACACACCAGACAACAATGATTACTTACAATGCCCAGACAGTTCACACACCAGACAACAATGATTACTTACAATGCCCAGACAGTTCACACACCAGACAACAATGATTACTAACAATCTCTAACAAAGTTTTTATTTTCTAGGTTACGGTGGCCTCATTATCTCACTGGAAGGTCCCCACCGCTCGAACCTCAGCTTGCTGAAGGCAGAGGATCGAGTCTACACCATCCAGTACAGCCCCCATGAGCCTGGCATCTACATCCTCAGCCTCAGATTCTCTGATGATGATATCCCAGGTTGATTGTCTCTCTGTATTTATGTCTGTCTCTTTTATTCCCTGCTTGTTTATCTGTCCTTCAACATATTTGTCTGTCTGTCGTTTCATCTTTTTGTCGTCATATTCATTGTCTTTCTTTCTGCCTATTCAATTTCTGTTCAGTTCATCTGGTTAATTATACTTAAACTCTTTTTTTTTTCTGTCTTCACTTCAGTATTTGTGACTGCCCTTCCGTCTGTTCGTCTGTCCGTCTGTACTTTCACTTATATGTCTGCCGTCCTAGTTTTACATTACCTATTAATTATGCATGTCTTCCTGTATGTCTACCTACATGTATACCTATATGTCTACCCACATGTCTACGTGCATGTCTACCTATATGTCTACCTACATGTCTACCCATATGTCTACCTATATGTCTACCTATATGTCTACCTATATGTCTACCTATATGTCTACCTATATGTCTACCTATATGTCTACCTGCATGTCTACCTATATGTCTACCTACATGTCTACCCATATGTCTACCTATATGTCTACCTATATGTCTACCTATATGTCTAAATATATGTCTACCTACATGTTCAACCTATATGTCTACTTTTATGTCTACCTTTATGTCTACCTATATGTCTACCCACATGTCTACCTACATGTCTACCTACATGTTAAACCTATATGTCTCCTACATGTCTACCTACATGTCTACCTACATGTCTACCTACATGTTCAACCTATATGTCTACCTACATGTCTACCTACATGTCTACCTACATGTCTACCTACATGTCTACCTATATGTCTACCTATATTTCTACCTATATGTCTACCTATATGTCTACCTACATGTCTACCTATATGTCTATATATATGTCTACCTATATGTCTACCTATATGTCTACCTATATGTCTACCTATATGTCTACCTACATGTCTACCTATATGTCTACCTATATGTCTACCTATATGTCTACCTATATGTCTACATACATGTTCAACCTATATGTCTACCTATATGTCTACCTACATGTTCAACCTATATGTCTACTTTTATGTCTACCTATATGTCTACCTATATGTCTACCTACATGTCTACCTATATGTCTATCTATATGTCTACCTACATGTCTACCTATATGTCTACCTATATGTCTACCTATATGTCTACCTACATGTCTACCTATATGTCTACCTATATGTCTACCTATATGTCTACCTATATGTCTACATACATGTTCAACCTATATGTCTACCTACATGTCTACCTACATGTTCAACCTATATGTCTCCTACATGTCTACCTACATGTCTACCTACATGTTCAACCTATATGTCTACCTACAAGTCTACCTACATGTCTACCTACATGTCTACCTATATGTCTACCTATATGTCTACCTTTATGTCTACCTATATGTCTACCTACATGTCTACCTACATGTCTACCTATATGTCTACCTATATGTCTACCTACATGTCTACCTATATGTCTATCTATATGTCTACCTACATGTCTACCTATATGTCTACCTACATGTCTACCTATATGTCTACATACATGTCTACCTATATGTCTACCTATATGTCTACCTATATGTCTACCTATATGTCTACATAAATGTCTACCTAAATGTCTACATAAATGTCTACCTATATGTCTACCTATATGTCTACCTATATGTCTACCTATATGTCTACCTACATGTCTACCTATATGTCTACCTATATGTCTACCTATATGTCTACCTACATGTCTACCTATATGTCTACCTATATGTCTACCTATATGTCTACCTATATGTCTACCTACATGTCTACCTCTATGTCTACCTATATGTCTACCTACATGTCTACCTATATGTCTATCTATATGTCTACCTATATGTCTACCTACATGTCTACCTATATGTCTGCCTATATGTCTACCTAATTGTCTACCTAATTGTCTGCCTGTATGTCTACCTATATGTTTACCTATATGTCTCCCTATGTGTCTACCTACATGTCTGCCTATTTTTTTCCTACATGTCTACCTGTATGTCTATCTAAATGTCTAAGTATATGCCTACCTAAATGTCTACCTATATGTCTACCTATATGTCTACCAATTATGTCTACCTATATGTCTACCTTTATATGTCTGTCTATATCTCTACCTATATGTCTACTAATATGTCTATCTATATGTCTGCCTTTATGTCTACCTATATGTCTACCTATATGTCTACCTAAATGTCTACCTATATGTCTACCTATATGTCTGTCTATATCTCTACCTATATGTCTACCTATATGTCTACCTATATGTCTACCTATATGTCTACCTATATGTCTACCTTTATGTCTACCTATATGTCGACCTATATATTTACCTATATGTCTACCTATATGTCTACCTATATGTCTGTCTATATGTGTACCTATATGTCTACCTATATGTCTACCTACATGTCTACCTATATGTCTGTCTATATCTCTACCTATATGTCTACCTATATGTCTACCTATATGTCTACCTATGTGTCTACCTTTATCTCTACCTATATATCTACCTATATGTCTACATATATGTCTACCTATTTGTCAGCATGTGTCTGTCTGTCTGTGCATGTCTATGTGTGTTTTTCTGTGTGTATTGTGTGTGCCCCTTTGTTGTCTGTATGTGTCTGCATGTCAGAGTATATGTCTGTGCGTGCCGAATATATGTGCCTGCGTGTGTATTTCTATGTGTTTGTATGTGTATGCATTTCTGCGTGTTTGTCTCTGTGGGTGTCAGTATGTGTTTGTCTGCCTGTTTGTCTGTATTTGAGTGTGTGTGTGTGTTTGACTGCGTGTGTGTCTATGTGGCTGTATGTATGTGTCTGCATGTTTGTCTGCGTATGTGTGGTGTGTGTGTCAGTGTGTGAGCACGAATGTAAATATGTGTGCTGTGTGTTTCCCTGTGTATGTTTATATGTAAGTGTCTGTGTGTGTGTCTGTATTTTTGTCTGAGTGTGTGTGTATCTGTGGGAGTGTCCGTGTGTGCATGTGTGTGTCTCCATGCATGACTGTATTTATGACTGTATGTTTGTATGTGTGTATGCCTGTATTACGTATGTATGTATGTATGTATGTATGTATGTATGTATGTATGTATGTATGTATGTATGTATGTATGTATGTATGTATGTATGTATGTATGTATGTATTTATGTATGTATGTATGTATGTATGTATGTATGTATGTATGTATGTATGTATGTATGTATGTATGTATGTATGTATGTATGTATGTATGTATGTATGTATGTATGTATGTATGTATGTATGTATGTATGTATGTATGTATGTATGTATGTATGTATGTATGTATGTATGTATGTATGTATGTATGTATGTATGTATGTATGTATGTATGTTTGTATGTATGTATGTATGTATGTATGTATGTATGTATGTATGTATGTATGTATGTATGTATGTATGTATGTATGTATGTATGTATGTATGTATGTATGTATGTATGTATGCCTGTATGTTTGTATCTATGTATGTATGTATGTTTGTATGTATGTAATGTATGCATGCATGTGTGTGTGTAAGAGAGTGGGTGAGCGTGTGTATGTGGGTGTATGTATGCACGCGCGGGTTTTTGCATGTACTTTACAACTCATGCGTTTGTGTTCTTTTATAATATTTATAATATGCATATCATCATATGATCATAACATGCTTTATTAGTAAAATACAACTGCTGTGCGAAAGATGGTTGACTGGAAGGGATGAATGTAAGACGGGCCTGCGTGCCCAAATTGTGACCCTTTAAAAAAAAAGTTCGTTCGTTCGTTTGTTCTACCTAGATGTCTACCTATATGTCTGTCTATATGTCTGCCTATATGTCTACCTAAATGTCTCCCTATATGTCTGCCTTTATGTCTGCCTTTATGTCTGCCTTTATGTCTACCTATATGTCTACCTATATGTCTGCCTATATGTCTGCCTATATGTCTACCTATATATCTGTCTATATCTCTACCTACATGTCTACCTAAATGTCTGTCTATATGTCTACCTAAATGTCTGCCTGTATGTCTACCTATATGTCTACGTATATGCCTACCTATATGTCTACCTATATGTCTACCTATATTTCTACCATTATGTCTACCTATATGTCTAACTATATGTCTGTCTGCCTATCTGTCTATCATTAGCTTCTTTCAAACAATCGTTATTAATTACTCTGGCCGTGCAAGGTATTCGCAGCATTCGTCTCAGAAACCTCATCTCTGTTGCTTCAAAATTATTCCTAATTTGTTCACTGACATTTATGTTCTGCCATATGTCTAGCTATATGTCAGGTTCTATGTAACATATATGTCACCTATCTGTTCTGACATATATGAACTATTTATTGCAAAAGATATTTTTCATTTTCTGAAATGCAGCTTTTGCTTGACCTATTCTGCTATTAATCTCTGGCACACATTTTCCATCTGATGATGTGATTGTTCCCAGATATTTGAGTTTATTGACTTATTGTCTATATGTCTATCTATATGTCTGCCTATATGTCTGCCTTTATGTCTGCCTTTATGTCTACCTATATGTCTGCCTATATGTCTGCCAATATGTCTGCCTATATGTCTACCTATGTGTCTACCTATATGTCTGCCTATATGTCTGCCTATATTCTACCTATATGTCTACATATATGTCTACCTATATGTCTGCCTATATGTCTACCTATATGTCTACCTATATTTCTGCCTATATATCTGCCTATATGTCTGCCTATATGTCTACCTATATGTCTGTCTGCCTATATGTCTACCTATATGTCTGCCTATATGTCTGCCTATATGTCTGCCTATATGTCTACCTATATGTCTACCTATATGTCTACCTATATGTCTACCTATATGTCTGCCTATATGTCTGCCTATATGTCTGCCTATATGTCTACCTATATGTCTACCTATATGTCTGCCTATATGTCTGCCTATATGTCTACCTATATGTCTACCTATATGTCTGCCTATATGTCTGCCTATATGTCTGCCTTTATGTCTACCTATATGTCTACCTGTATGTCTGCCTTTATGTCTACCTTTATGTTTGCCTATATTTCTGCCTCTATGTCTACCTATATGTTTGCCTATATGTCTGCCTTTATGTCTACCTATATGTCTACCTATATGTCTGCCTATATGTCTGCCTTTATGTCTGCCTATATGTCTACCTATATTTCTACCTATATGTCTACCTATATGTCCTTGTATATGTTTACCTATATATCTACCTATATGTCCTTCTATATGTTTACCTATATTGCCTATTACATTACTTATTTATCTGAATGTTTGTTTGGGCTATATTTTCTTGCTGTTTATTATTAGTCCGTTCGCTATGTGTCTAATTATATGTTACTCTATATGTCTACCTATATATCTGCCTATATGTCCGCCTATATGTCTGTGGCACAGTCGTGCCTATACATCCCCCAAGAAATAGATGTGCCTAGTTCGGCCAAGGGTGAATGAATATAGTTCGTAGCTCTCTTCAATCGTACTCAAGAACAAGGCCAGTGATGTAATCAATTACACAAGAGCTGGTTTATTTACAATATTCTCGTCACACAGGCTTCATAAATTCAATAAGCAATAGTATATGAACACTTTATTATCTGCATCCAGGCTATTCGTATGACTCTCTACGAGTTCCTTAACCACTGTTCTAGCTAAACTCCAAGTTTAACATATACCTTCTAAACGAAGTAAAGCACTAGTTTTCTCCTAACTGGTCTTTCCAGCGGTTCATCTCTAACCTGTCCTATCAAGCGGTTCCGTGGCTAACCCCCTTCTCAAGCCCCTGGCTCTGACTTTATTCTCCCGCTTTCCCGCTCTTTCTGGCATACCTTCTCCATCACTCCCCTGTCACCTGTCTTTGGTGGTCACGTTTGGATGAACGTATCTCTGCAGCTGGTCACAATGCATGTGCTTGCTCACGGGCACTCGTCGAATGTTTCATCCCTCACTGTCAGATGTCCTGGCGGTTATCGTGTAGATGTTCTGCATAGCTGGCTAGGCCATGGCTTTCTAATCACCCATTTCTGTCATTTCACACAGTGATGGATTAGTACGCCGTGTGGTGGTCTGAAATGTATGCTTTGTTCATTTAACCCCTTTCTGCCTATATTTCATTACATGTCTACCTATATGTCTGTCTATATGTCTACCTATATGTCTGCCTTTATGTCTACCTATATGTCTACCTATATGTCTGCCTATAAGTCTACCTATATGTCTACCTATATGTCTACCTATATGTCTACCTATATGTCACTCTATATGTTTACCTATATGTCTGCTTATATGTCTGCCTTTATGTCTGCCTTCATATCTACCTATATGTCTGCACGTATGTCTGCCTATATGTCTGCCTATATGTCTACTTATATGTCTACCTATATGTCTACCAATATCTACCTATATGTCTACCTATATGTCTACCTATATGTCTATCTAAATGTCTACCTACATGTCTACCTATATGTCTACCTATATGTCTACCTATATGTCTACCTATATGTCTACCTACATGTCTACCTACATGTCTACCTATATGTCTACCTATATGTCTACCTATATGTCTACCTATATGTCTACCTATATGTCTACCTATATCTGCCTTTATGTCTACCTATATGTCTGCCTATATGTCTACCTATATGTCTACCTATATGTCTATCTAAATGTCTACCTATATGTCTACCTATATGTCTACCTATATGTCTACCTATATGTCTACCTACATGTCTACCTACATGTCTACCTACATGTCTACCTATATGTCTACCTACATGTCTACCTATATGTCTACCTATATGTCTACCTATAAGTCTACCTATATGTCTACCTATATGTCTACCTAAATGTCTACCTACATGTCTACCTATATATCTACCTATATGTCTACCTATATGTCTACATATATGTCTACCTACATGTCTACCTACATGTCTGCCTATATGTCTACCTATATGTCTACCTACATGTCTGCCTATATGTCTACCTATATGTCTACTTATATGTCTACCTACATGTATGCCTATATGTCTACCTATATGTCTACCTATATGTCTACCTATATGTCTACCTATATGTCTACCTATATGTCTACCTATATGTCTACCTATATGTCTACCTATATGTCTATCTAAATGTCTACCTACATGTCTACACATGTGTCTACCTATATGTAATTCTATATGTTTACCTATATTCGCCATTACATTATTTATTTATCTGAATGTTTGTTCAGGCTATATTTTCTTGCTGTTTATTATTAGTCTGTTCGTTCTGTGTTTCTGCCTGTCCGTGTCTGTCTACCTGGGCTGACATTATCTGTCTGTCTAATCATGCATTCGAGGATCTGTCTGCTGTCTTCATATATTTCTCTCAACTGGAGTGTGTACACACACATACACAAGCACGCACTCACGCACGCATGCTTACGCACACACACTCTCCACACTTACGCACACACACTCAAACACACACATATACTCACTCACTCACTCACTCTCTCTCTGTCACACTTACACACACATACATATATATACACACACACACACATACATATATATACACACACGCACACACACATATGCAAGAAATAATGTAGGTACAATAAACCACGTGACTCCGTCTGTGATTGCTCCATGTCCCAACGTGTTCTGTTTCTGACAGGAAGTCCATTCCTCTTGAATGTGGGAGGTGACCCGTCTGGTCGCATCAGGACAACAGTCACCAAAGAGATGGAAACTGCCGAGGCTGTGCTTCCAGGCACCCAGGCCGAGTTTATCCTGAAGATTCCAGGTATTATCATGTCTTACCTGTAACACTTCATGTCTTACCTGTAACACCTCATGTCTTACCTGTAACACCTCATGTCTTACCTGTAACACCTCATGTCTTACCTGTAACACCTCATGTCTTACCTGTAACACCTCATGTCTTACCTGTAACACCTCATGTCTTAACTGTAACACCTCATGTTTTACCTGTAACACCACAAGTTTTACCTGTAATACCTCATGTCTTACCTGTAACACCTCATGTCTTACCTGCAACACCCCATGTCTTACCTGTAACGCCCCATGTCTTAACTGTAACACCTCATGTCTTACCTGTAACACCTCATGTTTTACCTGTAACACCCCATGTCTTACCTGTAACACCTCATGTCTTACCTGTAACACCCCATGTCTTACATGTAAAACCTCATGTTTTAACTGTAACACCCGATGTCTTACCTGTAATGCCTCATGTCTTACCTGTAACACCTCATGTCTTACCTGTAACACCTCATGTCTTACCTGTAACACCTCATGTCTTACCTGTAACACCTCATGTCTTACCTGTAACACCTCATGTTTTACCTGTAACACCTCATGTCTTACCTGTAACACCTCATGTCTTACCTGTAACACCCCATGTCTTACCTGTAACACCTCATGTCTTACCTGTAACACCCCAAATCTTAACTGTAACACCCCATGTCTTACCTGTAACACCCCATGTCTTACCTGTAACACCCCATGTCTTACCTGTAACACCTCATGTCTTACCTGTAACACCCCATGTCTTACCTGTAACACCTCATGTCTTAACTGTAACACCCCATGTCTTACCTGTAACACCTCATGTTTTACAGTTATCAATAATTCGTAATCAGCTTTTTTCCTTTTGAAGTTGGAGAAGTAGTTGTCTCAGGTTGATTGTCTCCTCCATCCTGGCATGTGGAAATAATTGTAATCTTCTTGATTGTTTCCATGTCTGTCCTGGGATGTGGAGGTAAATTGTAATCTTCTTGATTGTTTCCATGTCTGCCCTGGGATGTGGAGGTCAATTGTAATCTTCTTGATTGTTTCCATGTCTGCCCTGGGATGTGGAGGTCAATTGTAATCTTCTTGATTGTTTCCATGTCTGCTCTTGTTTGTATGTGTGTATGCCTGTTTGTATGTGTGTGTATGTTTGTATCTATGTATGTCTGTATGTTTGTGTGTATGTATGTGTGTATGTATGTATGCCTGTATATATGTGTGTATGCCTGTATGTATGCCTGTATGTATGTTTGTATGTATGTGTGTATGTATGTATGTATGCCTGCATGTATGCCTGTGTGTATGTGCGTGTGTGTGTGTGTGTGCGTGTGCGCGTGCGTGCGTGCGTGTGTGTTTGTGCCTGTGTGTGTGTGTGTGTGTGTGTGTGTGTGTCTGTGTGTGTGTGCCTGTGTGTGTGTGTCTGTGTGTGTGTGTGTCTGTCTGTCTGTCTGTGTGTCTGTCTGTCTGTCTGTCTGTCTGTCTGTCTGTCTGTCTGTGTATGTGTGTGTCTGTCTGTCTGTGTGTGTGTCTGACTGTCTGTGTGTCTGTCTGTCTGTGTGTCTGTCTGTGTGTCTGTCTGTCCGTGTGTCTGTCTGTATGTATGTCTGTATGTAATGTATGCATGTATGTTTGTGTGTGGAAGTGAGTGGGTGAGCGTGTGTATGTTGGTGTGTGTATGCACGCGCGGGTTTTTTGCATGCACTTTAAAACTCATGCTTTTGTGTTCTTTTATATTATTCATAATATGCAAATCATCATATGATCGTAGCATGCTTTATTAGTAAAAAAAAAAACAACTGCTGTGCGAAAGATGGTTGATTGAAAGGGCCGAATGTAAGGCGGGCCTGCGTGCCCAATTTGTGACCCTTTGAAAAAAAAGTTCTTTGGTTAGTTCTGTATAATTATTAAGTCTTTCTTTAACTGCGAGGTCTGTAAGCACATTACCCTCTAATCCTCTGAACCGGAACCAACCCCTTTAGCATTTTGTCATCATCATGTATTCTTAGGTTGATAGGTATCAAACAATCCCAGTGTGTCTTTCCTCATGTAATAGTGGATGTAGACATACTTTATGGTTTTGTCTAGTATTTTTTCTTTTTCTTCCCTGGTAGATATTCTTTATAGTTTTGTAATGTCTTTATTCTCACATCCCCTAGCACCCAAAAAAAAAAAAAAAAAATTGCCAGTTCTCACTCAAGATTGAACACTTGTCACTAACCTGGCAGACAATCCACTGTGTCACTGACCAGACAGACAAACCACTATGTCACTGACCTAGCAGACAAACCACTGTGTCACTGACCTGACAGACAAACCACTGTGTCACTGACCTGACAGACAAAACACCGTGTCACTGACCTGACAGACAAACCACTGTGTCACTGACCTGGCAGACAAACCACCGTGTCACTGACCTGGCAGACAAACCACCGTGTCACTGACCTGACAAACAAAGTTCTATGTCACTGACCTGACAGACAAAACACCGTGTCACTGACCTGGCAGACAAACCACTGTGTCACTGACCTGACAGACAAACCACTGTGTCACTGACCTGACAGACAAACCACTGTGTCACTGGTGCTCCTTATTGACCTGACAGACAAACCACAGTCACTGGTGCTCCTTATTGACCTGACAGATAAACCACCATGTCACTGGTGGTCCTTATTAACTTGACAGATAAACCCTTCTGTCACTGGTGCTCCTTATTGACCTGACAGACAAACCACTGTGTCACTGGCGCTCCTCACTGACCTGGCAGACAAACCACTGTGTCACTGGTGCTCCTCACTGACCTGACAGACAAACCACTGTGTCACTGACCTGACAGACAAAACACTGTGTCACTGGTGCTCCTCACTGACCTGACAGACAAACCACTGTGTCACTGACCTGAAAGACACACCACTGTGTTATTGGTGCTCCCCACTGACCTGACAGACAAACCACTGTGTCACTGACCTGACAGACACACCACTGTGTCACTGGTGCTCCTTATTGACCTGACAGACAAACTCCTGTGTCACTGGTGCTCCTCACTGACCTGACCAGACAAACCACTGTGTCACTGGTGCTCCTTATTGACCTGACAGACAAACCACTGTGCCACTGGTGCTCCTCACTGACCTGACCAGACAAACCACTGTGTCACTGGTGCTCCTCACTGACCTGGCAGACAAACCACTGTGCCACTTGTGCTCCTTATTGACCTGACAGACAAACCACTGTGTCATTGGTGCTCCTTTTTGACCTGACAGACAAACCACTGTGTCACTCGTGCTCCTCACTAAATTAGATGAGGAAGACAGGACAGACAACAAAGTAAAGATTTTAAGTCATGAATAGAAATAATAATATTTAGGCGAATTAAAAAAACTGCTTACTAAACATAGCTATCTGATTTTTGTGACCAGGAACGAACCCCTTTGGCATTAATAAGTTACATAAACTTACTTCTGTGTGATATCTCTGACCAGGAACTAACCCCTTTGGCATTAATAAGTTACATAAACTTACTTCTGTGTGATATCTCTGACCAGGAACTAACCCCTTTGGCATTAATAAGTTACATAAACTTACTTCTGTGTGATATCTCTGACCAGGTGGCATTAATAAGTTACATAAACTTACTTCTGTGTGATATCTCTGACAGGAACTAACCCCTCTGACCAGGAACTAACCCTTTGGCATTAATAAGTTACATAAACTTACTTCTGTGTCACTCTCTGACCAATAACTAACATTAATAAGTGCATATCATCTTGTCACTGCATCAATATACAAGTGCATATCATCTTGTCACTCTGCCAGGAACAATTTACAAGTGCACATCATCTTGTCACTCGGAGCTTTGTGAGGTCATCAACTTTACATCTCATCAAGTGCACATCATCCTGCACATCCTCAGCATTAAACACAAGAGCATGCATATTTCTGGTGAGATCTGCATCAATATACAAGTGCACATCATCTTGTCACTTCATCAATATACAAGTGCACATCATCTTGTCACTTCATCAATATACAAGTGCACATCATCTTGTCACTTCATCAATATACAAGTGCACATCATCTTGTCACTTTATCTATATGCAGTTGTTGCACATCATCTTGTCACTTCATCAATATACAAGTGCACATCATCTTGTCACTTCATCAATATACAAGTGCACATCATCTTGTCACTTTATCAATATACAAGTGCACATCATCTTGTCACTTCATCAATATACAAGTGCACATCATCTTGTCACTTTATCAATATACAGTTGCACATCATCTTGTCACTTCATCAATATACAAGTGCACATCATCTTGTCACTTCATCAATATACAAGTGCACATCATCTTGTCACTTCATCAATATACAAGTGCACATCATCTTGTCACTTTATCAATATACAGTTGCACATCATCTTGTCACTTTATCAATATAGATTTGCACATCATCTTGTCACTTTATCAATATACAGTTGCACATCATCTTGTCACTTTATCAATATACAGTTGCACATCATCTTGTCACTTTATCAATATACAGTTGTTGCACATCATCTTGTCACTTCATCAATATACAGTTGTACATCATCTTGTCACTTTATCAATATACAGTTGTTGCACATCATCTTGTCACTTTATCAATATACAGTTGCACATCATCTTGTCAGTTTATCAATATACAGTTGCACATCATCTTGTCACTTCATCAATATACAGTTGCACATCATCTTGTCACTTTATCAATATACAGATGCACATCATCTTGTCACTTTATCAATATACAGCATGACATCATGGCATTGTGGTCACTGTGGATTACCAACCTCCCCGGGCAGCAGCTACAAATGTGTACATCATCTTGTCACTTTCCGTTTAACACCTATATGGGGCTCACAGTGTGCTTATTCCCCGATCACATCTTGTCACTTTCATCAATATACATGAGTGCAACATCATCACATCCTGAGTCCCTGTGCCTTTACGATAGTTTCCGGTATTCAGGGGGGTTAGTATACATTCTTAGTGCACATCACCTTGTCACTTCCCTCAACTGGGGGCAGTACAGTGTGGTGCACCGGGTTTATTATCGAGGTTTGCTCCTCTAGATCCATTGTGTTTTGCCTGGGGATTCGCACCCCCAGTTACCAGGACTACCTCGGGGAGGCTGTGACTCTTCGCCACGCACATCATCTTGAGGTAAGAGAGGTTTTGCTAGGTCAAGAGGCTACACAATGGACGCTTTTCAACATCATATTCACTAGACCTAGGGTGAAGTAAGGGGGGGGGGGAACCCACTTTATCAATATTCTTACCCCCTGCCTCAGGCTCATCCCAGTTGTCACTTTAACTTGTTACTTTATCAATATACAGTTGCACATCATCTTGTCACTTTATCAATATACAGTTGTTGCACATCATCTTGTCACTTTATCAATATACAGTTGTTGCACATCATCTTGTCACTTTATTAATATACAGTTGTTGCACATCATCTTGTCACTTTATCAATATACAGTTGTTGCACATCATCTTGTCACTTTATTAATATACAGTTGTTGCACATCATCTTGTCACTTTATCAATATACAGTTGTTGCACATCATCTTGTCACTTTATCAATATACAGTTGTACATCATCTTGTCACTTTATCAATATACAGTTGTTGCACATCATTCTGTCACTTTATCAATATACAGTTGTTGCACATCATCTTGTCACTTTATCAATTTACAGTTGTACATCATCTGGTCACTTTATCAATACACAAGTGCACATCATCTTGTCACTTTATCAATATACAGTTGGTACACATCAACTTGTCACTTTATCAATATACATTTGTTGCACATCACCATGTCACTTTATCAATATACAGTTGATGCACATCATCTTGTCACTTTATCAATATACAGTTGTACAACATCTTGTCACTTTATCAATATACAGTTGTTGCACATCATCTTGTCACTTTATCAATATACAGTTGTTGCACATCATCTTGTCACTTTATCAATATACAGTTGTTGCACATCATCTTGTCACTTTATCAATATACAAGTGCACATCATCTTGTCACTTTATCAACATACAGTTGCACATCATCTTGTCACTTTATCAATATACAGTTGTTGCACATCAACTTGTCACTTTATCAATATACAGTTGTACATCATCTTGTCACTTTATCAATATAGGTTTGCACATCATCTTGTCACTTTATCATTATACAGTTGCACATCATCTTGTCACTTTATCAATATACAATTGTTGCACATCATCTTGTCACTTTATCAATATACAGTTGTACATCAACTTGTCACTTTATCAATATACAGTTGTACATCATCTTGTCACTTTATCAGTTACAGTTGTTGCACATCATCTTGTCACTTTATCAATTTACAGTTGCACAGCATCTTGTCACTTTATCAATATACAGTTGTACATCATCTTGTCACTTTATCAATATACTGTTTGCACATCATCTTTTCACTTGCTTCCTCAACTGACCATTGAATACAGGAACAGAATGTTCTTTAGCTACTGATGGGGCATTCCCCCAGCCACTGATCGGGTTGTTGACTAGGGCTCTGTCAACCCTCTGAAGGAATGGGGCATTCCCACAACCACTGATCGGGTTGTTGACTAGGGCTCTGCCAACCCTCTGAGAGATGGGGCATTCCCCAGCTACTGATCGGGTTGTTGACTAGGGCTCTGCCAACACTCTGAGGGTTGGGGCATCAGATTATAATCACTGAATCTCCAAAGAAGTTTTGTCTGAAGTTTGATTTTGTTATCTTGATGGAAGGCCATGTTACCACATAAGATGCAGTGGATGCCTCACATTCATCCAACTCATTTACATGAATGTTCTATATGTTTGCTTTTTTTTGTAATTTATTAATATGTTTTCTGAACATTTGTTTTATTACATTTACAGTGATGTATATTTCATGTTTTCATGTGTGTAAAATATCCGTAAAATTGACATGAATCCTATGACAGGGCAGATTTTTCTCAACAGGAAGTCCGTTTCAGTATTCAGTTGGCCAGCTGGCCGTGGGCGGGCCACACAAAGTTCAGGTTGGAGGGCCAGGCTTGGAGAAAGGAGAAGTTGGAATACCAAGTAAGTCCTGGCTGGTGGTCGGTGTCTATTTTTATCTGGTGGTATTTGATTTTTATGTCATATTTTACGATCTGGAAGTGTGTATTATTTTCATTGTTCATTTCACATATTTGCAACCATCGTTTATGTGCAGTGTTGTGGAAGAAAGAGAGCTTATGTGGCCTTGTATGATCGAACACAAATATGTACACATTATTTGAATTTGCCAGCTGAAGACGAGAATCTCTTGCTAGACTTGACAGCTAAACCACAGAACAAAAAAATTAGTCTCATTTGAAATGCGGCTTCTTGTAGTCAGTAGCCATCTAAATTGTATCAGTCATCAATACTCATGTCTGTAAAGATAATATTTCCAGCCACATCTATTTAATTATCCTGACTTAAATATACAGGGCAAAACCATGACCTCTGTTTGTAATATTCATGACCGACTCTTTACATCCTTGGAACAGCTTTGATAAAGTTTCCCCTTCATTAGAATGAGTCTCAGCTACCAAGAGTAGACAACTTTACAGCATTAGTACCAACAAAAGGGGACCTTATACATGGTTGTCTTCCCTCATAGAAATTTAACCAATATGCTGCGATATCTCACTGTGAAGGTTAGGTGATATCTCACTGTGAAGTTTGGTGATATCTCACTGTGAAGGTTAGGTGAATGTTGCCAGGTCAAGCTGTCTCATCACTGTGAAGGTTGGGTGAATGTTGCCAGGTCAAGCTGTTTCATCATTGAAGCATCCTGTCATGGCAGCTGGTTGAATTAGATTGTCTCCCCCACCCTTCTATATTAAAACATGTCTCCCCCAGATTCTACATTGAAACATGTCTCCCCCACCCTTCTATATCAAAACATGTCTCCCCCACCCTTCTACATTGAAACATGTCTCCCCCACCCTTCTACATTGAAACATGTCTCCCCCACCCTTCTATATCAAAACATGTCTCCCCCACCCTTCTACATTGAAACATGTCTCCCCCACCCTTCTACATCGAAACATGTCTCCCCCACCCTTCTACATCAAAACATGTCTCCCCCACCATCCTACATCGAAACATCCATTAGTTGTGTAACCCTGTTTGTTCCCGATATTACTTCTGTTGATGTCAGACACTGTTAATTATACCTTGTCAACGAGCAGCGGACACTACCTTGCATTGATTTCAACAGTGGGACCAAGCGCCGACTGTAAAGTAAACAATGGCAAACTATTGACCATAACTTTTCCTAGAAAATCACAACAGCAAAAAAATGCTGGGGTTGGTTCAGTAAAATTCTGCAAAGAACACACACAAAACTAACTTCAAAAAGCAGTTAGAAAAGAGTGCATTGACATATACAACTAAAATGCTGATATTGTCGAAACCTGGCAATGTCTAATATCTTTCTTGCTGTCCCCTCACAAACAAGTCTAAAAGAGAAGTGACTCCAGCACGCCTATGATGTGTCCAGTCATACAGCTGATAAATTCCCTGAATGTCTTATATTAGTGTTATTCTCATCCGTCTCATTGCTGCACACCTTTAATACAGTTACTTATGTTGTGCGACCCCAGCCATACAATTATGTTTGTCGCTACTTCATAACTTCAACCAGTAAGTGTTTTGCTAACGTCTTTGGCAACCCCTGTGAAAGGGTCGTTCGATCTCCCCCACTCCCCCCCCCCCCAATAAAAAGGTAGCGACCCATAGGTTGAGAACCACTGCATTACAGGAATATGTCCAATGGTTGCCTGAGGATTGAAAAAGTGTGTCGTTGCTCCATAAACTGTGTGACAAAGTTTGTCTGCTGCTCCATAGATCTACGCCTAGGGAAATGTTTACAAAAATTTCTCTTAGTGGGGTCCTCTTTAAAAAAAAAAAAAAGGAAACATGATTTTTTCCATACTGAAAATCCATAGGGATGTAATGTTTACCATAGAAGCATTGTCTGTAGTGGATATAAGATCCTCTTGTAAAAAATATAAGATCAGTTTACTGTAAGAGCATTGTCTGTTTTTGATTAAGATCATTTACTGTAAATCCATTGTCTGTTGTTGATGATGTAAGATCAGTTTACTGCAGAGAGCATTGTCTGTTGTTGATGATATAAGATCAGTTTACTGCAGAGAGCATTGTCTGTTGATGGTATAAGATCAGTTTACTGTAGAGAGCATTGTCTATTGTTGATGATATAAGATCAGTTTACTGTAGAGAGCATTGTCTGTTGTTGATGATGCATATAAGTTGATGATGGAAGATCAGTTTACTGTAGAGAGCATTGTCTGTTGTTAATGATGCAATATCAGTTTACTGTAGAGAGCATTGTCTGTTGTTGATGATGCAAGATCAGTTTACTGTAGAGAGCATTGTCTGTTGTTAATGATGCAAGATCAGTTTACTGTAGAGAGCATTGTCTGTTGATGATATAAGATCAATTTACTGTAGAGAGCATTGTCTGTTGTTGATGATGCAAGATCAGTTTACTGTAGAGAGCATTGTCTGTTGTTGATGATGTAAGATCAGTTTACTGTAGAGAGCATTGTCTGTTGTTGATGATGCAAGATCAGTTTACTGTAGAGAGCATTGTCTGTTGTTGATGATGCAAGATCAGTTTGCAGTAGAGAGCATTGTCTGTTGTTGATGATGCAATATCAGTTTACTGTAGAGAGCATTGTCTGTTGTTGATGATGCAAGATCAGTTTACTGTAGAGAGCATTGTCTGTTGTTAATGATGGAAGATCAGTTTACTGTAGAGAGCATTGTCTGTTGATGATTTATGTCTGTTGTTGATAATGGAAGATCAGTTTACTGTAGAGAGCATTGTCTGTTGTTGATGATGGAAGATCAGTTTACTGCAGAGAGCAATGTCTGTTGTTAATGATGCAAGATCAGTTTACTGTAGAGAGCATTGTCTGTTGTTGATGATGTAAGATTAGTTTACTGTAGAGAGCACTGTCTGTTCTTGATAATATGATATTAGTTTACTGTAGAGAGCATTGTCTGTTGTTGATAATATGAGATTAGTTTACTGTAGAGAGCATTGTCTGTTGTTGATGATGGAAGATTAGTTTATTGTAGAGAGCATTGTCTGTTGTTGATGATGTAAAATTAGTTTACTGTAGAGAGCACTGCCTGTTGTTGATAATATGTGATTAGTTTACTGTCGAGAGCATTGTCTGTTGTGAAGAGAAGAAAGAATGATAAATGTTGACTGTAATGTTGATGATAACACTAGAAATTTTCATCGTATTGATGATGATAACAGAAGAAATATATCTGATCTGCCCTCCTCTTCTTAGACGTCTTTAACATATACACCCGTGAGGCTGGACAGGGTCTGCTGACAGTTGCTGTGGAGGGCACGTCCAAGGCAGTCATACAACTGGAAGAGAGGCCTAACGGTTTCCTAGGTGCACAGTACAAGGTGGATAAACCAGGTAGATGATTTTTTGTTACCATTGTTTCAAAAGGTCATGGATCAAGTGCATTCTTTTTCTTTTGCCGCCTTTATCTCCCATGGAAGCAAAAGTCTTCAACCAGCTGCCATCAAAATCTTCATCATGTCTTGTCATGACAGGTTGGAGTGAGCACTACAGCTGTCTACAGGATTAGCTGGTTAGTCTCATACCACCTCCAGTCCAGTGATATCTAACATACCTCACTATCGCTTCGATAGTGCAGTGGTATGTAATAGAGTACCCCAGTATCACTCTTATAGTCCAGTGATATCTAACATACCTTACTATGTGGTATGTAACAGAGTACCATAGTATCACTCTTATAGTGCAGTGATATCTAACAGAGTGCCCCAGTATCACTCTTATAGTGCAGTGATATCTAACAGAGTAGCCCAGTATCACTTCGATAGTGCAGTGATATCTAACAGAGTACCCCAGTATCACTTCGATAGTGCAGTGATATCTAACAGAGTACCCCAGTATCACTTCGATAGTGCAGTGATATCTAACAGAGTTGCCCAGTATCACTTCGATAGTGCTGTGATATCTAACAGAGTACCTCACTATCACTTTTATAGTGCAGTGATATCTAACAGAGTACCTCACTATCACTCTTATAGTGCAGTGATATCAAACAGAGTACCCAAGTATCACTCTTATAGTGCAGTGATATCTAACAGAGTACCTAAGTGTCACTCTTATAGTGCAGTGATATCTAACAGAGTACCTCAGTATCACTCTTATAGTGCAGTGATATCTAACAGAGTACCTCAGTATCACTCTTATAGTGCAGTGATATCTAACAGAGGACCTCAGTATCACTCTTATAGTGCAGTGATATCTAACAGAGTACCCCAGTATCACTCTTATGGTGCAGTGATATCTAACAGAGTACCCCAGTATCACTCTTATAGTGCAGTGATATCTAACAGAGTACCCCAGTATCACTCTTATAGTGCAGTGATATCTAACAGAGTACCTCAGTATCACTCTTATAGTGCAGTGATATCTAACAGAGTACCTCAGTATCACTCTTATAGTGCAGTGATATCTAACAGAGTACCTCAGTATCACTCTTATAGTGCAGTGATATCTAACAGAGTACCTCAGTATCACTCTTATAGTGTAGTGATATCTAACAGAGTACCTCAGTATCACTCTTATAGTGTAGTGATATCTAACAGAGTACCTCAGTATCACTCTTATAGTGTATTGATATCTAACAGAGTACCTTAGTATCACTCTTATAGTGTATTGATATCTAACAGAGTACCTCAGTATCACTCTTATAGTGTAGTGATATCTAACAGAGTACCTCAGTATCACTCTTATAGTGTAGTGATATCTAACAGAGTACCTCAGTATCACTCTTATAGTGTAGTGATATCTAACAGAGTACCTCAGTATCACTCTTATAGTGTAGTGATATCTAACAGAGTACCTCAGTATCACTCTTATAGTGTAGTGATATCTAACAGAGTACCTCAGTATCACTCTTATAGTGTAGTGATATCTAACAGAGTACCTCAGTATCACTCTTATAGTGTAGTGATATCTAACAGAGTACCTCAGTATCACTCTTATAGTGTAGTGATATCTAACAGAGTACCTCAGTATCACTCTTATAGTGTAGTGATATCTAACAGAGTACCTCAGTATCACTCTTATAGTGTAGTGATATCTAACAGAGTACCTCAGTATCACTCTTATAGTGTAGTGATATCTAACAGAGTACCTCAGTATCACTCTTATAGTGTAGTGATATCTAACAGAGTACCTCAGTATCACTCTTATAGTGTAGTGATATCTAACAGAGTACCTCAGTATCACTCTTATAGTGTAGTGATATCTAACAGAGTACCTCAGTATCACTCTTATAGTGTAGTGATATCTAACAGAGTACCTCAGTATCACTCTTATAGTGTAGTGATATCTAACAGAGTACCTCAGTATTACTCTTATAGTGTAGTGATATCTAACAGAGTACCTCAGTATTACTCTTATAGTGTAGTGACCTAACAGAGTACCTCAGTATCACTCTTATAGTGTAGTGATATCTAACAGAGTACCTCAGTATCACTCTTATAGTGTAGTGATATCTAACAGAGTACCTCAGTATCACTCTTATAGTGTAGTGATATCTAACAGAGTACCTCAGTATCACTCTTATAGTGCAGTGATATCTAACAGAGTACCCCAGTATCACTTCCATAGTGCAGTGATATCTAACAGATTATCCCAGTACCACTCTTATAGTGCAGTGATATCTAACAGAGTACCTCAGTATCACTCTTATAGTGCAGTGATATCTAACAGAGTACCCCAGTGTTACTCTTATAGTGCAGTGATATCTAACAGAGTACCCCAGTATCACTCTTATAGTGCAATTATATCTAACACAGTACCTCAGTATCACTCTTATAGTGCAATTATATCTAACACAGTACCTCAGTATCACTCTTTTGGTGCAGTGATATCTAACAGAGTACCCCAAGTACAAGTGCACAAGGAGGTCCACAATAAAGTGCAGCAGCATCAACAAGGACCGAGATGTTACAGCATGAAGCTTTCTTTCATGGAACATTCTAGTTCTAGTTTCACACTCTAGTGCCTTACTGAACAACTTTCAGTGTAACATGAGGGTGTGTTTTCTGTCAGATTTCATGGACAATTTAAGTAGATTATTATAATTTTTTTTTAAATATGATTACAAATGATTTCTTTGAAAAAAAAAAAAGAAGAAATTTCACATGCTTTTTTTTAAACGATTTGTTACAAGCAATATTCAAATTTAAACAAACAAATTTAAAAATATATATACAAAACCTTTTCTTTTTGTTCTTAACAAGGGCAGTGCGACATTATTTTGTTGTTTACAGCTAGGCTGTGATATCTGCACCTTTTAACTCAATAGATCCGATTTCTGCAGACAAGATTATATTGTAGTTTAGAGCTAGGCTGTGATATTGCACCTTTTAACTCAACACATTCTTAATTAATCACACTTAACGACATGCATGTCACAGCGGCTTTATGTTTTCTCTCAACTCAACACATCCTTAATTAATCACACTTAACGACATGCCTGTCACAGCGGCTTTATGTTTTCTCTCAACTCAACACATCCTTAATTAATCACACTTAACGACATGCCTGTCACAGCGGCTTTATGTTTTCTCTCAACTCAACACATCCTTAATTAATCACACTTAACGACATGCCTGTCACAGCGGCTTTATGTTTTCTCTCAACTCAACACATCCTTAATTAATCACACTTAACGACATGCCTGTCACAGCGGCTTTATGTTTTCTCTCAACTCAACACATCCTTAATTAATCACACTTAACGACATGCCTGTCACAGCGGCTTTATGTTTTCTCTCAACTCAACACATCCTTAATTAATCACACTTAACGACATGCCTGTCACAGCGGCTTTATGTTTTCTCTCAACTCAACACATCCTTAATTAATCACACTTAACGACATGCCTGTCACAGCGGCTTTATGTTTTCTCTCAACTCAACACATCCTTAATTAATCACACTTAACGACATGCCTGTCACAGCGGCTTTATGTTTTCTCTCAACTCAACACATCCTTAATTAATCACACTTAACGACATGCCTGTCACAGCGGCTTTATGTTTTCTCTCAACTCAACACATCCTTAATTAATCACACTTAACGACATGCCTGTCACAGCGGCTTTATATTTTCTCTCAACTCAACACATCCTTAATTAATCACACTTAACGACATGCCTGTCACAGCGGCTTTATGTTTTCTCTCAACTCAACACATCCTTAATTAATCACACTTAACGACATGCCTGTCACAGCGGCTTTATGTTTTCTCTCAACTCAACACATCCTTAATTAATCACACTTAACGACATGCCTGTCACAGCGGCTTTATGTTTTCTCTCAACTCAACACATCCTTAATTAATCACACTTAACGACATGCCTGTCACAGCGGCTTTATGTTTTCTCTCAACTCAACACATCCCTAATTAATCACACTTAACGACATGCCTGTCACAGCGGCTTTATGTTTTCTCTCAACTCAACACATCCTTAATTAATCACACTTAACGACATGCCTGTCACAGCGGCTTTATGTTTTCTCTCCACTCAACACATCCTTAATTAATCACACTTAACGACATGCCTGTCACAGCGGCTTTATGTTTTCTCTTAACTCAACACATCCTTAATTAATCACACTTAACGACATGCCTGTCACAGCGGCTTTATGTTTTCTCTCAACTCAACACATCCTTAATTAATCACACTTAACGACATGCCTGTCACAGCGGCTTTATGTTTTCTCTCAACTCAACACATCCCTAATTAATCACACTTAACGACATGCCTGTCACAGCGGCTTTATGTTTTCTCTCAACTCAACACATCCTTAATTAATCACACTTAACGACATGCCTGTCACAGCGGCTTTATGTTTTCTCTCCACTCAACACATCCTTAATTAATCACACTTAACGACATGCCTGTCACAGCGGCTTTATGTTTTCTCTTCACTCAACACATCCTTAATTAATCACACTTAACGACATGCCTGTCACAGCGGCTTTATGTTTTCTCTTCACTCAGGCCTCAAAACTCACACAGGAAATAGTGAAATCTAATGCAGTCTTTTCCAACTTGGAATTATGCTTTTAACAATATAATTGATAACAGACAAAATTCAAAGTCTCTTTGTTGGGAAACATTTTTGATGTTTCCTACAGGAAAGATTTTTGTCTAGCAGGATTCTTTCTCAAAGGCATTATTTCAGTGTTCCGATGATGCAGTCTATTAGGAAAGATCGTGAACTAACTAATGTCTTCTCACAGGAATGTACGGGGTGCATGTCAAGTTCAATGACACGCACATCCCGGGCTCACCTTTCATGGTCAATGTAGCCCCAGACAGTGGTGAGGCCAAGCAGGTTACTGTTCATGCCTTGAAGGACAAGGGTCTGTCGGTTCGTATCCCACTTGTTAGTGACAATAGAAGATTCACTGCGATGTCTGGCTGTTAGCTTGAATGATTAGCAGATAGGATATGCAGTACCAGTTTTTTTTTATCTGGCTGTCATTGCAATATAAGAGCAATAAAATAGTAATATGACAG